GCTTTCCACCTTGAGGACAAGGTGGTACTTGGGGAGGGGGGTAATGTTATGCTTGAACCGGCCCAGGAGGGGCCGGCTGGACCCGGTCCGACCCTGGTCTACACCAGGCGGAGGCAGAAACCAGGAAAGGAGGGGGGCGGACAAGGTGGGCCCCACTTGGGGCTGATTTGATTACGTGGGAGGGAAAATTTTGAATGCAAAGGGCTGTTTAGGTATTTGGTAGGAATCATTTATTGTTAATTAGGAGGATTATGAGGGAAAGGGGGTTATCTTAAATTTGAATGTAATTAGAGATCTAGGGTTTCTTGCTTGGGCTCTTGGCGTTGCCGGAGATTGTCGGAGAGTTGTTCTTCCTCTCGAATCGAAGAACATTGTATCTTGCTTTTGTTTTGATCATCTACTAGTGGAATATAAGTCCATTGCTTGTGTTTCTATCAGATTTCCTACAGATTTCTCTGTTTTCTACTGTTTTCCTGCGTTTTGGGCTGATTTCCTGCTGAAAAACAGCAAATCTATTGCTGTTTTCCCCACTCAAATCGATAGGAATACTTGGATCTAAGTATTTCCTATCACAAAAGCATTGCTTAAGATAGCATATGATCTTACCCTCTAAAGTCTTGATTATTACTTCCTGAAAATGGAATAATAGGTTGTTGTTACCAAGAGGGATTGTTGAGGTCTTAACATCTTAGGTGAAACATAAGATGTGATTGTTAGGGAGAAAAAAAAATCAGCATTTCATATTGATTATGAGAAGCTCCTTGCCTACCCCTACTAAAAAATAGTACATGTTGTCAAGGCTACAACATCTATTGAACAGCTGATCCATTTGCACTCCATCATTCATTCATAACTGTGCTTACACCCCATTAGCACCACAAACCCTTCTCCAATCAAATTATAATTTAAACCTAGCTTAAAATCATCCAACAACTTAATTAATTCTCTCACATAGGTCATGGAAAAATACCCTTAATCCCCATCGTCTCATCATCCGGGAACATCTCACATTAATTTTCAAATGGCATCCACTTCCGTAAATGATTTGGCCATCATAGAATGGATCTATACTATCATGATGCTCATTACAATTATAACTAACATCATAGCTATATTTCTATAAATCTAATTTTTTCGACCATAATAATTATAATTCCTAAATTAAAAATATGTATATTATATATCAAAAATCATGCTGTTCATATTCATATCATGATGACGATCATTGTTATAAAAAAATGTAAAATCACTCTTCCTACCATAATACTATAGAAATAATCATGAATATGTGCTTAGCATCTTGACATCTTTAGATATCCAACAATTCATGGACAACAATTTTTCATTGACAACAATTCATGAATAGTAAATTTCTATCTGCAACAACCCAACAATATGTGAATAGCAACATTTCTGTTTTAGCAAGATATCATGAGAAAATCCTTATTTTCCACTTTTGTCATGGGTAGTTAAGTCTAAATTCTAGAATTAAAAAGTGGATTTGTATTATCTAAATAGTTGTTTCTCCAATTATTTATTCATAACTTCTTATCTTTTTAAAAAGAACAACAACAACAACATCAAGCCTTTAACCCATGAATCCTTTTTCTCCATTGTGTTCTATTAAAAGTCAAATTCTCTTTTAAATTTAATAAAGAATGGTCATTCCTAACATTTTCTAACCAAGTCTTTTTAGGTCTGCCTCTACCTTTCTTAACATAAGTCAAATCTAATACCTCTACTCTCCTAACCGGGTCATTGAAAGGTCATCGTTTTATGTGACCAAACCATCTACGGTGATTCTCTCTAATCTTATCTTCTACTGGAGCTATTCCAACCTTTTCATGTATATGCTCATTTCGTATCCTATCTCTAAGGGTAAAGCCACTCATTCACTTGAGCATCCTTATCTCTGCCACACTTAACTTAGTATTATGCTTCTCTTTTAATGGCCAACATTTGGCACCATAAAACATTGTAGGCCTCACCACCATCTTATAGAATTTTCCCTTAAGTTTGAGGGGTACTTTTCTATCACACAACAAGTCTGATGCATTCCTCCACTTCAACCATCCAACTTGAATTCTGCTGATAATATCCCCATCTATTTCACCATCACTCTGAACAATAGATCCAAGATATCTAAAACGTGTACTATTATTAATGACTTGATCGTCCAATCCCCTCGTTAGGTCTATTACTACTAAAATTACACTTCATATATTCCGTTTTAGATATACTCAAGCGAAAACCTTTAGATTCTAAGGTTGACCTCCATAATTCATGTTTACCTTCAACTCCCTCTAATCTTATCAGCAAGAAGAATATCATCAGCAAAAAGCATACACCAAGGTACATCCTCTTGCAAATGTCTAGTGAGAACATCCATGACTAAAGCAAACATATATGGGTTAAGGCTGATCCTTGATGTAACCCAACCGAAATAGGGAAATACTTGGTCAAACCACCTTGTGTTTGAACACAAGTAATAGCTCCTGCATACATATCTTTAATGATTTGAATATAAGCGTTATTAACTCATTTCTTTTCAAGAACTCTCCATAACACTTCTCTTGAAACTTTATCATATGTTTTTTCTAAATCAATAAATATCATATGTAGATCCTCCTTATTTTCTCTATATTTCTCCATCAAACCTCTTAATAAATGTATGGCTTCCATAGTCGACCTACCCTGCATGAATCCAAATTAAAAAGAACAAGTGAATAAAATTCAATTATAAAATCACCCATTTTCTACTCTCCTCTATTCCCTTCTTATTTTCAAGATGGTATTAATCATTAAAGCTCTACTCCCTATGAGGCCAACAAGCCCTTTAATATGGAGTCTCTCCTTTTCCTGATAATTCCAAAGCTAGAAATTAATATTAAAAAAAAAATCATATCAAAAAAATGAAAAATCCATGATGAAATATTTCTTTGAAAAAATTTCCAAAAAAACCAACAACAAAGCTAAATCACGGCTGCTCTCTTATTCCTATTTCAGTCATTTGGACAACAAACATAAGAAAACCAACTGTTCTCCCTAAATAAGCTTATTTTGGAACTTCACTAGAATAAGCTTGATTGCTCAAAAAGATAAATTCTCATATACCCTTACTGCAACCAAGAAAAAAAAAACTACTTGGATAGTATACTCAAAAGCAACAAATCATAGGAGAAAAAAATATCTTCCACAATTACAACCCATGCCATGAAACAGATGGCTCGCTCTCAAAAGTGTTCAAAATAAGTTTGCCAATATCTCAAACAATTTAATATGTTACTATGCTTTAGTGCCTAACTTGGATCGCGACTTACTATCAATCAATAAACACTCTAGACAAATTTATGTTTCAAATTTCTCATTTAATATTTTCCACTTTTTAAACTTAAGCTCAAAGAGGAGGATTAGTGGTGTGGAGATGTGCTCGGGACTCTATATTAAGGTATATGCTCAAACAAGAGGTTGTGCATCCACTTTAAATTCTAAATGAATTTCAAATAAGGATAGTGATGTTTGGATTTGGCGTTATACCATAGAACAACATAACTTATCTTGAAAGATTTATTCCTTCTCTATTCAAAGACTTTTGATTAATACATCACTTTTTATAACTAACTTTACTTACCTTGGACACTTCATAAATACTAGCAAATATTAAATCACACATATCTTTAACAACTTCAATAGACATTTAGCACATATTTTTTTATTTTATTAATACACGTCACATTAATTATAGCATTCTCAAAATATTTTCAAGCATACTGATAGGATATAGATATGTTTAAGTACAATAGAAGTCCATGCATGATGTATAAGGGGAATGGAGCTGTACAGGATGCATTTAATGTAATATATGAACCAAGTGATATCAAATAAAAGTACAGTGGCTAGCTGTGACTGTGTTCAAACATAATTACTTCTGAATTGTTTCAGTATGAGGAGGCCATGACTCCTGCCAGTTGAGTTCTCGTACATGAATAGAAGCTTCATTTAGTTCAGAAAAGCTCGAACTAAGACGGACATTTTTTGCACAATTGTCGAGAATTTCATTTCCATAATCTGTGCATGAAAATCAAAATTTTAAAAGGAAATCAATATATATTTAATATTTCAATAGTTCCATCCAGAAGCCATCTTAAAAATTAATGCAACAGCCTTTAATATATATATCTGAATTTCATAGCACTTTGATGACAAACTAGACACATGTCATAGAGCTGCAAGAAAGGATCCAAATAATTATACAAGAAGGAAAGAAAATAAACAGAAATTCTGTGAAGCAGCAAGTTAGAATTATGTGAAAATGAATGACAAGTTGTTTAGTATAATTACGCATGTTATTTAAAGGTAATGCTAGTATATATATCCTCCATTAAAGTGATATGTGTGCACGCTTATATATCTTGCATCAAGTATTGAAATATATTGAAGGCAACGTGATCTGATTATGCTAACTCATATCATATCCTAAGAATAATTAAGTTGCAAAATAAAGACATATCCACGTTTAAGTGTTTCATATAAAATTGTCTAAAATATCTCTATTTTTAGGGGCTGTTCGACAGCTGTATTTATCTAGGATTTACACAGGATTTAACATAAATGCTACCAAATTATGATTTTAGATAAAATAAATCTACCAAAAATTTACATCTCATTTTGATCCTATTCCACCATAAATCCCAGATTTACTAAATATGGAAGTTCAAAGAATTTACAGGACTTCATGCACATAGAAAGAAAGAAGGGGCTTGCCAACAACCTCCCATCACAACTTCCTCCCTTCTTTTTTACCAACCTGGTTACCTTCTCTAGCGATTTCCCATTGAGACTTCCCCTTTTTTTGTCAATGGGGTTGACATCACCACCAACCTCCTAGTGCAACTTCCTCGCTTTTTTTTTTAACATTAATTTGGTATACGCGGAAAGATTGAAGGGAGTTGGGCATTTGCAATGCCCTCATTGCTTTATCGTCGAGGATTTTGGGAATTTGGGTAGGAGAGGAAGTGGAGAATACTATTTAATTTCACCACTAATTTTAAACTTTAAAGTTCTTATTAAAAGGAAAATCTATTTAACTTGAATTAGATGTATTACGATTAAACATAATTACATTGAAATTATTCCATGTAATTAATTTAATAAATTAGTAATATTATTAATAATCAATCAAAAAATTAGATACAAATATACTAATAATCAAATCAATTAAATTCACGTTAATAATTAATACTAATTAATAAAAATTAATGGCTTAAAGATGATACTATTTGTGCTTTAATGACCACTTAAAAGTTATTGATGGGGGCATCAGATTATGACACATGTACCTTCAGGAGATGACGAAGATCGACGGCCACGATCATGATCTTTATTTTCACCATTTTATACAGTAGTTTAATTTTATTTTATGTTTTTCCGTTTTTGCCCTTATGGATATTTGTTAGCTATTGTAGCCCAAAAGGCATTTTAGTCTTTTGTTTTTCTTTGTCATTGTGAGGCCTATTTATATGGCCCTTCTCTTGTAATAGTGGATTATTGATGATTGAAATGATAAATTATTCTCTTGCGTTTTCTTTGTGAGTTCCAACTTATAGATCTCTTAGTGAGTTCTTTCTTTTAGAGATCTCTTAGTGAGTTCTCCAAGTGATCCTTTGCAACGTTCGTTGCCTCCGCCATAGTCTCTCGCAAGCGAAGACTAATCGTTTGAAGAAGCAAAATCTCTCACAAGCTCTCGTTGCCGCCATCCCTAGGGCCACCCGCCGGCCACCATAGCCCCACCGACCGGCCTCCTTCCCTCTCCACCACCTCCCCATATCTCCCTCCTCCACCTCACATTGAAATTTGAATTTCAAATTTCAATTTATTTCCTAATTTGGAAATTCTATTTATGGAAAGTTTTGAATGAAACCTAATTCAAATTAAAGGAATTTGGATTTAATTTAAAACATTTTCCAAGTCATCGTGTAACTTTGGAAACCCCATCACCCCCTCTCCCTAACTCCTCCCCTAGCCATGCCGCCGGCCCCCCCCTTTGTGGGATTCAATTAAGGAGGAAATTAATACTTCCTCCTATTTGAAATTCCAATTATTCCCAAATGTTTCCTCCCTCCAATTGTGCCAAAACTGAAAATAATTTCAGTTTTTTTTTTTTATTTCCCTCCCCTCTCTCTCTCTACCGCCGGCCCCCATTAATCTCATCCTAATTTAATTTCCATTAGTGCATTAATTGCATTCAATTGGAAATTCAAATTTCATAATTTTTCCCTCCCAAACCCATTAAAACTGAAATTAATTTCAGTTTTCTACAACACCTCACAAACTCCCCACCCCTCTCTCTACCGCCGACCCTCTCTCTCCCTCATCCCCACGCCATCCTTCATCCCTTGATCTTGTGGTGACAATTCGGCTTCAACTTCATGGTGTATGGCGGATCCCGCCATTGATCACGGGATCGAACTCGACATCTACGACCACGTTCACGTTCTCAGATCGCCTTTCTTTGACGTGGTTTTGGCTTCGACAATACCGTCGAAGATTACTTGGATCGGATCTTACCGATTAATTTGGTATACGCGGAAAGATTGAAGGGAGTTGGGCATTTGCAATGCCCTCATTGCTTTATCGTCGAGGATTTCGGGAATTTGGGTAGGAGAGGAAGTGGAGAATACTATTTAATTTCACCACTAATTTTTAACTTTAAAGTTCAAATTAAAAGTTAAATCTATTTAACTTGAATTAGTTGTATTACGATTAAACATAATTACATTGAAATCATTCCATGTAATTAATTTAATAAATTAGTAATATTATTAATAATCAATCAAAAAATTAGATACAAATATACCAATAATCAAATCAATTAAATTCACCGTAATAATTAATATTAATTAATAAAAATTAACGGCTTAAAGATGATACTATTTGTGCTTTAATGACCACTTAAAAGTTATTGCATTAAATTAGTATATTAATTTCGTAACAAATAATTATTTTTAAAATCATTTACACTAATTATGATCATATATTTGAAATGAGTAGCCAAATAATTTTTAGGATGTAATTGCCTCAAGATTTACAAAATTCAGCTTGAGTGAAAGCTATTTGCGTTATTTAGTTATCTTTTAGTTATCTTTTGCAAGACTCTTGTAACTCTCAAGTGTAGTCAATGCCTACCGCTTAATCTCTCACGAATTTTCTTGAATCCTAATTGAGTAAGCTAAATTTTATTGTTAATGTTGCAAAGTTAAAGTTTTCACTAATCTCTGAATTGCAATTCATGTTTCCCCATGTTGGTTTCACATCAGTTATTGCATTAAATTAGTATATTAATTTCGTAACAAATAATTATTTTTAATATCATTTACACTAATTATGATCATATATTTGAAATGAGTAGCCAAATAATTTTTAGGATGTAGTTGCCTCAAGATTTACTAAATTCAGCTTGAGTTAAATCCAACTAGTACCTAAACAGCCCCGTAATGAAAAGTCATGAGAAAATGGGTTACAACAAAGCTTAGAACTACGAACAAAGAGGGTGGCAACAACAAGGCTTGCTTCTTAGGGTCAAAAATAGAATGAAGAATGAAGACCGGGACAAGAACTACATATCATTTATGACAATTGTTAAATTTTAGAACATTTATTTATATTGAATTCAGATATAAAATTAGTTTCAAGTATTAAATATAAGGTGTCAAGTTTCAACAGATAGGCATTTGAACATATTTTTGGCATATAAAAATAGATAAAAAAGCGCTACAAATTATTTCAAGGGAAAATACTTCAGGTTTCATCTATTGCAAAAATATTTTCAAGAAGCCATCTTAGATTTAACGCAGATGATTTTATACAAGGATCCAAAGTTCATTGCAACTTAATAAGAAACAAAAAAACACAAAAAATAATTTCAAGCAATAAATAACTGAATGCTTAATCCAAAGTAAACCAAATCGTACATATCAAGGAAGTTTTGTTACGCTATAAAGACAAGTGGAATGGATTGAGGTATTATTTCATGCTTATAGGACAAAGTGCAATAACTATACCTGCCTAACCTGTTAAAAAGACTGCCTTCGCAATCCGTGCAAGAACTATGCCTGCCAAACCTGGTTAAAAAAAAAGTGGCTCCATAAAGCTGAGGTTGCAGAACTTATTGAAAGTGTGCAATTTATAAAATTAGACCAAATTACTGTAATAAAAACAATCAATTTGTATTTTACCTGTTCCAGCACCAAGCTCCAGTGCAGTAATATCGTCAAAACTAGATGAAATGAAGCTTCTATGCAAAAGGTAATCGGATAATAAGAGTTCCGCCATCCAAACCTGAAACAAGAATTAAGTGGAAAGTGTAAAAGTAGATTATGCTAAATTAGAATTAGTTTGACAACTGAATTTTGAGACATTACTTGCAATCCAACATTGGGAAGTGAAGATGTAATACTGTGTTGGACAGCCAATTTGCAGATCGATCTAGCAACTGCAACCACAACCACAGAAAAGAACAATCCTATAAGCAAATGAATATATTATGAAGAATGGAAGCCTCTCTAGCAGCATTCTTTTATCCTTTCAAAATGATATAACGGTGAATCAATTCCGTATTTAAGACCGTCAAATGTTAAAGCTAGCATAATATGTACACATTCTTTGTACCAAATCCTTAATTTGACTTAGTAGCCATAGGTTAGCTAGGCAACAAAACAAGTGCTAATTAATTATCAACCCCAAAAAGTATGAACTACTTAAATTAATCCCTGAATCATGTTTTAGAATAGGATCAAACAGATTTTAAATGTTACTATACTGCTAGGACTGTTATTTGGACACGCCCAACCCTAACCTAGTCTGGACCCTCAGAAGCAGGCATAATAAAATGAAGGTCAGGCTAGCCATTTTAATAAATGGGGTTAAACAAAACCAAATATGCCCACTCTTATAATACATGGATTGTCAATCCAAGCCCATTTTGTTTTATGGTGGAGACTACTTATCAGATATAACATGAGTACATTTTGTAAAAGCTTTCTCAATTCAAACATTACAAATGCATGTTGATCCAAATCAGCCTACACATTAATTTAATGCATTATAGTCGACAAAAATGATGTAAACATGTTATGATGGTTGGAGTTCGGATTGAATCTGATAAAATGGATACTTTCAAGAGATGATAATAGAGGATAGAAGATGGACTTCCCAATGGTCTCTCAGTTAGGCGAAAAGCACTCTGTCTTGTTAGGATTTTTATGAGGTTCACCTGAAAATGAAGAAGCATCCAAAAAAGAGATCTGTTTGTTTATAGATATTGAGATATTAAAAGACCTGTTGGGTTGGTCTCCTACACATAGTATAACAAAACTCCTAAATTCTCTGCTTCCTTCATAAGGATATTTGTTTTACATTTTGATTTGATCATAGGCTTAGTTTGCTTTATGGGGTCTCTACCACGCTTTTAGAACAATTTTCTAACAGGAAAATGGGACACAGGTCTTTGGATGCTTGGAAAGCAAAGAGCCATATTTGTTCTGGTCCATGTTGGCTTTAAAGCCGTGTACCTGACTAGGCATCTATCCAGCAATATCCTACTCTTATCATAGGTGAATGCTCTAGATGAGCCAAGCGTTAGTTCTCCCTCTTTTCAAATTCCATTTTGGTTAAATCAAGATTTAAAATGAAAGATACCGTATTCCTTCTTTATTACTATCTTAGGTATTTCGCTGGCATAATGTGTAGTTTTAGCAAGATTACATCTGCAACCATCCTACCAAGGAGGCTTAAAGAGGAGTTGACCGCTCAATCGATGTTCTCAAGCAGCAGTTCTCCAATTATCACGTCAAAAATGGAGAAAACTTAGATTTCGATTTCATATTTGGATTCTAATAAGATGATTATGATTTCATGGTCGATACTTAGGGGGTAAAACTATTTTTTTCAGCTTAGGAGCACAGAGATTTTTTAGTTCATTAAGTCTTCCATATTTAAGGAAAAAGAGACTGACATCTGAACTTGTCCTCTAGAGGAAGCTACTTCTCAACAACATCTCTAAGGGCTCCTGGTGGATCCTAAAAAAGTAATAATATAGAGGCGATAATTCTCCAACCTAGAGAGGTACATTCAGTCAACACTATTGAGACTAGCTTCCTACTAACATAGATATCTATAGTTGCTCCACCACTAAGAGCCTTTATGAAATGGGAATTATGATCAACTTAGACTAAGGAAGAGGGTGTCTGGGTGACTACCATCCATTATGAAGGTAAATATAAAAGTTTTAGGTAGCAACTTAGAAAGATGACTTCAAACCACTCATTTCTGGTAAGAAACAAAGAAGATCTACTTAAAAATACCAAGAGGTGATTATAATGCCAAGGACCAGTTCTATTGGATTCACAAGCTGCATTTTCATCCCAGGGAACAATTCTTTTGGTGTAGGCTCTAAAAAATGCAATCCCAACCAATGCCTGGCTGCATTGTTGATGCCTTTTTTACACTCTACTATGTCCATGGAATTGTTTTGAAAGTGAAACCATTGAGCACATTGTTATCCATTGCGACAAATTGATTGTTGTCATCAAGAAATTCCATCAGTGGGAGATCCCGATACCCATATTCCAATCCCCGGCAAACCTCATCCAGCAACTCTAATAGGCAGCTAAAGCTGACGGGAGGGTGGGTCTACTGAAATGCAGTTTATCAAGTTTGGCGAGTGAGGAACACTCTGAAACACAGGAGATCGCATGGGACGCCAACTGCCCTCTAAGTTGTTTGGCTACTTAATTGCTTACATATAAAAAGTCAACTCAAAATAGGTTTGGAATCAACTTGGGATTAGATGATCTGAGAATCGGTCAGCTCAACATGACCAAATTTTGGTTTTGAGCCAACTTCAAGTCAAGGAATTAAAATTTTTAATTTTGAATCATATTAAACTTGCTCAAACTCGACTTGCTCTTAGCTTAAGCCACAAAACATAGTTGAATTATAGTTATTGGCTTCAAAGTTTTGTGCTTAACTTTTCCATGATCATCACAACACATTATTATGTAACAAAATTTGGTTGTTGTCACGAAAATGGAACAAGGTAAACGAAATGTTGCCACTCCGAGGAATAGATGAAAGGAATGAAATGGCTTGCTCTTCGCTTAAGCTACAAAGCATAGTTGAATTATGTTTATTGGCTTCGAAGTTATGCTTATTACCTGTTACAAAGGATAAGGTGGATAGCATTGATGTGAATTAGAATATTTTTTGTCCAAAGAAATCAAAATTATTTATGTAGAGATTTTTCACAAAATTCTCCAACCAAAAAAAAAAAAACCATGATCATGTTGGTGCATATATTTAATATTTTGGATGTAAGATGTATAAAATTAAAGAATGCTCACAAGCAGTAAGTGTTGTGTATATAAATTTTCAAATTAAAATGGTAAAGCAATCAAACATGGACATGAACAACTATGTAATAATTTTAAGAATAGGCTTTTGAACTAAGAAAGTGGAGACTGGAGAATGACAAGAATTGGAGGAAATTAGCTATGTTACATTCCAATATATATGTAGTATTTATGCAATCCATGGATAGTTTCTAATAAGAAAAATACAAAATAAGAGAATAATAATTACACAATAAATACAATAGTTCATGGATTGACGAGTAAATAGAATAATAACCATATAATAATTAAAATAATCTATGGACTGATGAGTGGAAAAATAACTACATTTGTCCATGGATTAATGAGGTGACAAAAATTATATGACAGATCACTTAGATAGCATGAAGTGAATAATGAAGGTGGAAGACTATTAGGCTCGGAGGAACATTGATGGAGGCATAATTGATGGGGAACAATGAAATGTCTTCATTGGTAGATTTAGTTATAAACTCATAACAACGATGGCTTCATTAGGCTTCTTATAGAGAAAAGTAGGATATCATCATCATTATTGGCTTAATCCAAACTAATTGGTCTCAATTTTATGAATCCTCATCCACTCAATGTTGATGATTATTATATGAGGTATTAGTTATTTCTCAGTAAATATTTTTACAAAACTTTTAGTACCCAAATTAGTTCTCACAACCAAACTGATTGGAGTAGCTTTTAAAATCCATCGTATGTCAGCAAAACATATTAGTTTATTTTATAATCTTATCTACAATAAGTACCAGACCTTCATCTCTCAAATATAATCATTGCTAGCACTATCTTTTTTTTTATTTTCACCACACATTCACCTTAAAATTCTCAATTAAGCTCCTCAAACACCTTGTCTTCGATTTACTTCTTTTGTATCCCGCACTTGAAACTTAATAGCTTAGCTGATCAAACTGCATTTTCATAAAATCTTCCTTTTTATCATGAACAGTCAACATATGCAAAAAGAACATTGTTCAAATACTATTTGAAGATACTTGTCATCCATGAGATATCATAAACATATACCGATATACGTCATATGATCGTTCATTGTAAGAACTTCGCGGGGGAAGGGACTTCAGAAATAAATAAAACTACAAATCAAGGGCTTAAAATTATTATTTGAAAGTTGAAACTCACCGCAGCTTTTGCGTTTCCTAGATAGGACTAGATCACCGTCGTCATCCAATTTAAAAGATTGGCATCCGGTATCATACGCATGGTTTTGACCCCTGTACGCATTATTTCCATCTATTATCACATAACCGAATCCAGTGAAACAAAACAAAAAAATCAAGAAATGTTAACAAAACAAAATTATTCGCAAAGGAAATAACAGCGTAAAATAATCACCCTTCCTCCGGGCAAGAACAAGATCGCCGTCCTCATCCAAACTGATAATATTTGAACCGATCAAATCAGCTACATCAACAAAAAAAAAAAAAAAAAATCTCGTGGATTGAGTTCAAGAAAAGTAGAAGCAATTAAAAAATCGATCCATGGAGGAGTGATTCAAGATTGTGGTTCCACCTTTATTAGAGGGTGATGAAAAGGTGAAGTGGGTAACGTAGGGGCCTGAGAAGTTAGGCGGACAACCTAGATGGACTTCACTCATCACTTGGTCGTCGTCGCTCTCTCCTCCTTCCATTTTGCTTCAGAAATGAAAAAGATTCATAACATGAACAGAAAGAAACAGGATGAGGAGAAAGACACGGCGGCGTGTTAAGGAATAAGTAGTTCGCCGCTTGGCCTTACGGGAAAGAAGGGAGGAGTGAATTACTGGAATTTTTATTATAGTAAAATGGTGTCACATAAGAGCCTCTTGCTCTTTATCGTGTGGCTCGACGGTCGGACTCGGGATTGCTATGTATTGACTGATTTGTGCAGATTGGGGTATTGCTAGGTATTGCTCGATATTGCTCGGCAATAACGAGAAATACCATTCTGTCAAGACCAATACCGAACAACACCCCATTTTTACTAGGTATTGATCTTGACAGAACGGTATTTCTCATTACTGTAAAGCACCTAGCAATACCCGAACATAGCAATACCGGGTTCCGGTCTGGGTCGGATCATCGGGCCGTGCGGTAAAGAGTAAGAGCACGTGGCGCATGTTATTGGCGTCCGGATGTAGAGCTACGTCAGGTGTCTGGACCTAATAATTGCCTAAACTTATCTTCTCCATCATCTTTCACACTACCAATCTCATTTCCCTTCACGCGTCACCTTTCTCTTCATTATATTTCTTCACGATTAATTATTCTGTGCGGACATCGAATGTCATCCAAAGATCAACTAGAATGCGCGACTTCACCCTTTTGTTCGATACGACGGTTTGATACAACTGGCATGACACATTCTGATTAGTTTTTCCATATAATGTTCTGCGTCTGGCCTACAGAATAATTTGTCCTATTTCACATGTTGCCCATCTTTCCCCAACGAGATCATGTTGTGATCTCATCTGTACTTCGCAAATGAGCTTCTTTCACAACTGCTCTCACTCTTTTAACTTGTTGATACACTTCAATATGGAAGTCATATAGCAAGATGTCAAGAATTTCCCATCAAGACTTCCTCATATTTCAAGAATGATTTTGATTAACTCCATCAATAGAGTGGAATATCACTTTAATCTACTCAGCATTTCTTAAAGTTTTTAATCTATTTTTCATAAAATTTTTAAACTTCTATTTATGTTACCATGGATTTTTTTTTTCTTTTTAATAAATTGGTATTAATTTTATCTACTTATACTTAAAACTATTTTTAACTATTTAATTTTCAATAATTATCTCTCTAACAATTCCTTTATACGTAAATACGCGTGTGTATATATATATTCATTTATCCTTTGTAATTTTATTATAACTCTTAACATTTTTTATGAGCCAAATGCAAATTAAGACTCCATTTGCGATAACTTTTCTATCACTTCTTAAAGAAGCATTTTAATACAAAAATTTTAAGAAACAATAAAAAAGTCATCACAAATGAAGCCTAAATTGTGGCCTCGCATAATGATCCCGCCAGGTATAAACCAAAAAAGGTATTTGATTTTGGGCTTTGAAAAAAATAAAAAACTCTCAAAGGGAAAATAATGTAGACATGTGTGCGTACATAAAGTTCAATAATCCTATTTGAACAATAACATATTACTCAGAAAAAAAAATACAACTAGAGGAGAGGTTGGTGGGGGTGGCAACTGGCAACAACGGTGGTGACTAGCAACAAGGGCGGGTGGTGATGGCTGGTGGATGGGGACTAATTCGCTGACAAAGGCGACTACCGATAGAGTTGTTGGCATCAATCGACAGCATTGAAAACCCACAAGTGAGAAGGGCAATGGTGCCTAAAGGCACGTGATAATAGTGGCAAACAATTTACAATATATTTAAAAACTTGTCCAACAATATATAAAATTTCAAAAACACAAAAAAAATTGAACAAAAAAGTAAATTTCAAATGCTTCAAAATTTTATTCTTCATTTCTTTTCCTTCAAATCAATACCAATCTTTTAAAAACCCTTGCCTACCAAAATACTTTACACTCATTTACTTAAACCAAAAAGTCACTTAATTTATCTAAAAGGTACAAATATTTTTAATTTTATTTTTGCCTTTAAATGTGCATCATTTATAATATAAATATATCATTCTTTGATTTTATAGAACTATATTTTATGTTATAAAAATAATTATCTTAATCATTACAAGGTAAAAACTGAATACAGTCACAAAATAGAAGAAAATATCGTAAAAGCCAAATAAAGCTACACATTTAAGCTAACAAAAATAGTTTATGAGCCTCATAAAAAATACAATACCAACTTTCTCTAACAGTTCAACCTCCTTCACACGACTTGCAGCGTTCTAAGCGTTTGCTAAATCCTAAGTTTCTTTTTGAGGCTTTTCGGGATCCTCCTTGTCTGGATCCTCTTCTTCTTCCTCTTTCTTCTCTTCCTCTTCCTCCTCATCTTCCTCAGGAGGATCGGCCGGCAATGGAGTGGGAAGCGGTGTCTTCATTGGGCTGAACTTTGGAAATATATCTGGTCTCCGTCCGGGCTTTGGTCTTTCCCATTCCTGCAGACTCAAGAAATAATTAACTTGTCCATGATACAATGAAACTATTTGGTGGCCAAATGGAGCAATTAGCTCCTGGTGGCCAAATAGCAGCAGGTAATCAAAGTTGCACATCTCCTTGTACAAACTATTCAAGCTTCATTTGGGACGGCTTTCTCACCGCTTCTTAAAGCAGCTAGAAAGCTGCTTTAAGCAAGAGTAAGAAAACCGTTCCAAACGAAATCTCAGTCTTTTGGGCATAGATAATTATGAAACCAGACGGACTGAGGGTGGCTCGCACCCCTCGGATTTGAGAGAAAACTTATTTAGCTATATGTATCATGAAAATTTGTTCTTAAATTCTTTGATAATCATGTAAATTATAGAAGACATTTCACGCACTCTCATTTGAAATCTTAATTCAACTACTGGATGGAGAAGATGTTTATTCTTATTTTCATGTCTTTATAAACAAATTCTAACCATGTTAGCTTTAATCTGATATTTTTCAACTACTGGGATTGATTTTTTTTTATTTGCCCAGTTCATTTGTGCAGTTCTGTTATTTATTGAACATGCTCAAACATCCTTGGTGTAGACAACAGAAACAAAAAAAGCAATGGGAAGAGGAGTGGAAGAGGATAAGCTAAATTTTCTAATCATTATTAACAAAAAATAAGTCACTATACAGCAAATATCAAATTATTACTTGATTTCTTCAGGAACATAAAAAATATTACATCAAACCGTAACCCTCATACTTGGCTAACACTTTTCTAATGGTTGCTTTTTTAGCTCTCAAAAGGGTTAGCATTTTGCAAAGAAAAGGAACACAGATTTCTGTCATCCATGGGTTAAAAAGTTTCTATCTTAGATAAATGAATTTTTTTTGGGGAAAATTTGGGGCAAGGCCCGTATATTAAAGAAGAAGATTACAAAAAACCAACTCTATAGTGAAAATACATGTAAAAAGAGCTGTGTTAAAAGATAAAAAAATCTCCAAAACCCACAAAAATTGAACATGACAAAAATCGGACTCAGGAAAGATAGGAACCAACGACAAAGAGCAATAAATATATCATGCATATGAAGGTTCAGATGCCCTGGCAAGATGAAGAGACTCCCTCGGTTTTCAACGAACCAAGCCACGACGAAGCATGTTGCAGGAACTATCCTAGCCAAAAACAAAGCCATCATCTGAAGGTACGACGAGGCCATCCAGAGGGAGGAGGCATTCAAATGTCGATTCTAGTCATCATCGTCAAATTGCCCAAAATTCTAGGAAAAAATCACCCACGACCAAAAACATGAACCGAAGCATGAAGGAAAGGAAAAGTGTAGCATATCATAGACTTTCCAATGAGAAACCTTCGCAGAGAGGGCTTTTTTGATCTTGTGAAAAGTGGTGATAAAGGTAGAATGTGTTCAAAAAAATATCTGTCATTCTTTTCCCTCCAAAGAAAATAAACAATGCAGCAAATCACAAAGAAACAAAAATTCTTTTCAGCTGAACTAAAATTCTGGAATTCATCAAAAAATTCAAAAAGCTAAAGCAGAGTATGCCTAAATAGAAAACCATCCAAGAAAGGCAGCATAAGGGAAGCCAATGCAAATGAATAATCACATTGAAACAGTAAGTGCTTGATAGATTCTTCCTCCAGGCAAAGAGGGCAAGTGTCATTTATCAAAATGTTTCTCTTTGCAAGCACATCAGCAGTCTTTAAGCAATTGCATACCGCAAGCCAAGTAAAAGAAGAGAAACGAATGGCATAATGTTTATGCCAAATGAATTTTTTCTAGTAGACAGAATGCAAATCCGAAAAAACTTGCACTCTGAATGCTTTAAAACTAGGTTTAGGAACTCCAACTCATTCAAAGGTATCAGAAGAGGGATCCCTAATATTAATAGTGGTAATGTTTTGAACTGCCAATGGAGTGAAATAATCCGGTAGGTGCCAACACCCAGAAGAAATAAAATCGTGCACACGTAGAAGGTCGTGGTGGCTGCATGAAATTAGATACGGACCTACCATTGCACCAAGGGTCCCAAAACATAGATAAGTTGCAGTTATCAAGAGTCACATAAAGTTTGATGCTATCTCTGATCTTAGTAGTAGTAAAGCAAATGAACTTCCATAATTTAGAGGATTTGGTGGGTGAAGGGTTTCCAAGGGGAAACATGTTTAAGCCTAAACCAATCAGCCACAAGAGATCTAATGGTAAACATCTGCCATATGAAAGAGCAACCATAACCATAGTACAAACAACGTATGTCAGGAATACCTAAGCCACCAAAACAAGTCTGGATGCAGGTTTTGCTCCATGCAATAAGATGAAGTTTCCTGTCAGAAGTAGAGCCATGGTACAAAATTTTGGAGCAAAGTCCATTAATCATTTTATGGCAAGCCTTAGGCATAATAGCTCCCCTAATCCAGTAGTCAATAGTGTTAGCAATCGTGAACTTCAAATATTGAATCCAACCTACAAAAGACAATAACTTAACTTTCCATCCAGCAAGTAGAGTATAAATCCTACTCAGGAGTGGATGGAAGTGAGAATTTGAGAGTTTTTTGGTTGAGATAGGCAACCCGAGATACTTCAGAGAGTGCTCGGACCGAGAGAAACCCAAGAACAATGTGATATCATTAGCAGCAGGGGAGTTCCGAGAGAAGATAATAAAACATTTAGCATTGTTAATGAAGAGCCTAGACGAGTCAGCAAAAGACGATAAAACATCTCTTAAAACATAAGCATTTTGCATAGAAGCCAAACCAAAAGCCAAAATGTCATCCGCATAAGAAGATGATTGAAAGTTGTATTCCCTATATAAACCTCCGTGAAGTTGCTAGCATCCAAGCTAAAAGAGAAAGCATCCATCACAGTGGCAAAAAGTAGAACAGTGGCAAAAAGTAGAGGAGAAAGAGGGCTACTTTATCTCAGCCCAGAAGAAGAATTGAAGTATCCCTCAAGAACTCCATTGATGCAAATGGAGAATGGAACAGCACTAATACAGGCTTTGATCCAAGAGATGAACTTAGAAGGGAAACCTTTAAAATGCAACCTAGAGATAAGGGAACTCCCTAGATACAATGTCAAAGGCCTTTTTAATCTCTAGCTTGGTGTAGAAATAGTTATTTCCCCCATTGATATTGAATTCACTCAACATTTTAGTAGCAAGGATGATGTTATCCGAGGAAATTCTCTTTTGGACAAAGCCAGCTTGGCTCTTGTGGATGATGTGGGGCATGATATCCTTCATATGATTAGCAAAGATTTTTGCGGTAATTTTGTAAAACATTGCAGAGAGAAATGGGCCGGAAATCTGTGATGTTACAAGCATGAGAGCTTTTAGAGATCAAAGCAATAGAATTGGCCTTCACACAATTGGGAAGGTGACCCGAGCTAAAGAAACTTTTAACAGCATTGCAAGCTTGCAAACCAATGACATCCCAAGAAGATTTGTAGAATTCAAAGGTGAAACCATCAGGACCCGGCGAGGAGGAAGAGGGCCCGATAAAAACCACATCTTTAATCTCTAGGTTAGAGACAGGGGCAATAAGGGGTTCAATGAGGTGGTATGGGATGGTGCTGCCAGCGAGAATAGAATGAGGGGATGGAGAATGAGGTTTTGGGGAATTGTAAAGGTTTTAGAAGTAATGAGTTACGACCTTGGCAAAGTCAGAGCTAGAGGTGAAGTGCCCATCATCAGTATAGATCGCTTTGATATAGGACATGTTGTTCCTTGCTTTAATACTGGCATATAGGAAGCTCAAATCATCTTCTCCATTAGCAAGCCATTTAGCCTTAGCTTTTTGGATCAGCGACGAACTCCAAGCTCTCTTAAGGGAAGAAAGACAAGTTTAATATGAATAGGGTCATCATGCCTTTGGTTAAACCAAGCGTAAAACAGACCAGTAGAAGCAAGGTCGATCAAACAAGCATTGAACATCCAGTTATTAAGCTCACCTAACCAACTGGGATGGGTCAGTCGACCACCCGATTTCTCTTTCTCGCTTCAGTGACAATTAAAATCACCATAACGATCCATGGGATGGTAGTGGAGTCAACCATCCTCAATAATTGATGCCAGAGAGAAGTTCTCTCAACAGGAGAGTTAGCAGCATAAAAAACTACATAAACAGTAATCGGGGCAAGGTAGCCGAGAGAAGCGAGCCATGAATAAGTTGGGAGGTCCAGAGAGAAGGATTGAAAGAGATGGAGGATGGGTTCCACTTCAACTAGATTCTGCCTGGGGAAGAGGAATCAAAATTATGGCAACTCAATTCATTTAGGAAAATCTAGTAGGAGTTCACGAACCAAGGGTCAGAAGCAGAGGAGAAAGAAATTTCGGCTTCAAGTATACAAAGCATGTCGAGACGATTAGAAGAGACGACATTTTTGCAAGCTAACACTTTTTTGGGTCCATTAAACAGCTGAACATTCCAGCACCCTATGTGAGGCGGGGTCATTTAGACTTCGAAGAGGAGTGTGCATTCTTGACGCTTTTGGTTTTAGAAGCTTTTGAAGATTCAGGTTTTAGGACTTGCATCTAGTCAGGAGGCTTCTCTTGCAGCGACTGGTCAACGTTGGCATCATCCTCCATACGAACCAATTGACCAAGGGGCTCCTCTTGAACGGAAAACTTGTTGGGGGATGTCAAAGGCTTAGTTTTGTGAAAGTTCACTTAAGAGTAAGAGGGGAAAGCATTCAGGTCATGATTGGTTTGTGGGCTCCGAAAATTCGGCCCCGGCCTTCGCTCGCTACTTGTTTGCTTTTTTTTTTGGCGAAGGAGTTTTAACATAATAAGTTCCGGGGTAAATTTTGGAAGGCAGATGGGTTTGTAGATAAGACACTACCCAGAGATTTCGCCCTCATTTTGCGAGGACTTTATAATCTGAGTTATGGTTTCCTATAGGCGCAAGCCCCTATAGTTAATTACCCCTCCCGATAATGAGAGAGAACTTTCGATTAAGGCTAGTCGTCAATCAGATACGTTGATAATACGTGTTATCTGGCTTATA